TTTTTTTTTTTTGTTTGTTTTAAATGTTTGCTAAACACTAACAATATTGTAGTGACACGATTTTCGTTTATGTTAATTGAAAGTTTGGTTACCTTATTAAACTCATAAATTAAAACAAAAAATATATATATATATTTTTTTAATTTGATCGATTAACTTAAGTTTTATTTACATAGATAAACACATCAAATATATGATTCTCAATTTAAACATCCTAATCTAATTGTTACTCATTTTGCACAAAAACTATATAATAAATACATTTAGATAACTAATATAAGAATAAAACCAATATATTAAAACATGTTTGTTTTTTCATTGAAAAAATACAGTAACTACATTATTACAGAAGTAATATGAGGGGATCTAACTAGGGTTGTAAACGAATCGAATCAAAGTGAATACTCAGAGATTCGATTTGGATTCGTTAAAATATTCGAAGATTCGAATTCGTATTCGATCATTAACGAACTCATTTTTTGATTCGTATTCGATTCGTTTAGAATATTTGAATATATTCCATTCGAAATTCGTTTAAAAAAATATAATTAAAAATATTATAATTACAAAAAAGATTTTTAATTTTTCATATATCGAATTCAAATATCGAATCGAATCAAAAAAATTTGATTTGTTTATAAGCCTAGATCTAACCGTGGTGACGGACGGCAGGCCCAGCCTTCTCATAATCAGCCACTGCACGCTTGTAGCTATTTGAAAGTCGCAGCACATCCAACCTTCTAGCCGCGACACTTAGTGATGTGTGTTTGAAGACCCGCTCATTGTGCCACTTCCATGATCTCCAAACATCAATAGTGAACACGCTGCTCCAATTCCTCCACAACCCCAGCCTCATCTTCGACAAGTTCGAGCGAACCCAAGGTTTAAGGGGCTGGGAGAAAAACTCATTTCGTGGCCAGACGGTAATAAACGGCCCCATAGCTCTTTAACCGACGGGCAATCTCGGAATACATGAAGCGTCGACTCCGGCTCCCCACACAGATCGCAGGCCTCTGAAACCGACAGATGCCTCTAAAAATACTTATTGTTAATAACGTCGTCACATTTGTATTCTTAATTTTCAGATATGAGCTTTTTGGGATTTATTGCTCAAAACTAAACAGGCACAACATATTCAAGCTCTCTACTCTAAATAAATGGGAACAGTCATTGCTCAATCTAAAATTTAAGAACATTAATTATGCTAAATCTTAAATTGTTTTAGTTTTATTTTAACTAGTAAGTATTTATAATTAAAGGCTAATATTAATCAATAAGTTATAATATCGTAGGTTCATTTGTCAGTTAATCATAAAATGTTCATCATGAAAAAGTTATACATTATTAAAATCTTTCTTGTTTTTCCATGCAAAATTATTTTGCACTTGACAACTGTAGATCGATATTTATAGTAATTGCTAATTGCATATTTCTCCAATTATTTGTTGATTTTCGCATTGTTAACACCACAAAATAAAATTATAATATAATATTATTATATAACTCTAGCGATTTAATGAGAGTAGGACTTTCACGATTAATTATTTGTGCTAACAATATTTATATCTACCATGTAAAATTTATAATTTTGGTAAATAATTGTGTAATATTTGTAAATATTAACGTAAATATTTATAAATCTAAATATTTAACGTACCCGTGAAGTAAAGATTACATTTGTAAAGATTAAATATATATCTGTGAAATATTTTTGTCTTAAACGTTTCTCAAATAAATATAAAGATTATTTTATGTATAAATAAATATGAATATTTTATCGTAGCACTATTTACACATGTAATTTTCTACCCGTAAAATATATATTAATTATAATTTATGAATATGAAATTATATTTAATTATGTATTGACTTGTGATAAGCAACTGAAGAAAGAAACGTAACCACAGAAGCAACAGTAGATCACCGGTATACCTATTAAGAACAAAGAGATCAATAGATGACGATAGCAAAATACGATCTAAACCAAAACGCCTCGATCTCACTTTGTCTGCCTCCTTTTCCCATGCAATCGCAACTGTCCTAGCGCAGTCAAGTAGGGGCCTTCATTTCTTTTAGCCTATGTTTGGTTCGGGGGAAACGGAGGGGAGGGAAAGAGAGATGAGGGAAATTTTTATTTTTCTCTAGTTTGGTTCAAGTTTTTGTAAGGGGGAGGGGTTTTAATTTTCTCTTCAATTCCCTCCTCCAAGGGAAAATGTGCTCCCCTCCAAAAGTGAGGGAATTTGGAGGGGAGGAAAAATTTTAACAACAAATTACTCTTTTGACCTTACTGTAAATTATTTTATTTTTTTGTTCCTTACATCATTAAGGATATATTTGTCATTCTAACATTATTTTCCCTCACCTTCCATCTTCTAACCAAATAAGGTTAATCATTTTCCTTCATCTCCCCTCCTACAAAATCCATCTAAACAAGATAAATTATTTTTCCTCCATTTCCCTCCCCTCTCCTCCCTTCCATTAAATTCCTTCCCCTCCCTTCCCCTCCTTTGAACCAAACACTTTCTTAGGCTTCGGGTTCAGCTTAAGAAGGCTAATCAATAATGAATGAGGCTGGACACATAGAAAGAATATGGATTTGGGATTATCTATTTTATTTTAACAGTTTCATTTTTAACATCGATTGAAAATGTGATTTTTAAAATTATTTTGTTTTATTATACAATAGATGTAGTTTTTCAAATCGTAATATGAATAGCAAGCAGTTTTTCAAATGAAAAATATGAATAGCACACCATGTAAATCAAATTTTGACAAAAAAAAATCGCTATGACATAAAAAAAAGGATCAGGTATCATAATTTTTTCCAAAAGCAATTATTAAAAAATTCAATCTAGTTCTCAAAAATCATCTAAAAAAAATTAACCAACAATAAAAGGTTAATCTCATTTTGAAATGTAATCAATGAATCTGCTAACCAATTTAGCTTAATCTTTTTTTTTTTTTTTT